TATCCATATGGAATAACAATATTGTGAAGTTTATAAAGCACTTATTCTGTTAGCAGATAGAAAGCTATGTTGACTCAGGACTGCCAACTGTTTTCCATATGATCCGTGTCACCATTTCCCACCACTCCTAGTCCCTGGACGCTTGCTATACTAAGAGTGAAAGTGTTTTAGAAAAGGAATGAATGGCATTTCTTTTAAAAGCAACCCAGACAACTTACTCCTGGGGATATGAATTTGTCATGCACTCAGAAATCATTTAATATTCCTGAAGAAAATTATTGAATAAACTTAGCAAAGAAGAACACATGAGCTCTTGTTTTTGAAAATGTTCAAGATTTGAGCTTCTTGATTCAATCAGAAATAATTAGGCTGATTGGTCAAGCTGTGGATTTTAACAGTGCTGCCTGTTGGCACTGATAAACAGGTATGTTATATTACTAATTCTATTTTATGGAAAACCAAAGTAAAGTTTAAATCTTCAATTAATATTAATATTTATTCTGTCTTTATGATTATAATAACTTAATATTTCAAAGTTATTCCCAAACTGCATATTTTACTGAGCTATTGTTTCTTTTATTCCTTTTGTAATTTGCAGCAAACAAAGCATACATAGTTAAGGCTGCTTATCTGTTCAGGAGTAAAGCCATAAAAACCAGAAATCAATCAGCAGTATTGCCATATTGGCTAGCACAGTAGTTCTGCATTATTGTGGGAAAAAATAACAATATCTTTTCTTTGTTTTTTTTTGTTGTTGTTGTTTGTTTGTTTTGGTACCGGGGATTGAACTCGGGTCCTTGCTCTTGCAAGGCAGGACCGCTGAGCTAAATCCCCGGCCCAGCAGTTATATCTTTTCTTATGCAGATGGATTTAGTATGTCGGATGAAAATTTAATAACCAAACAATTTTTTAGTTAAAAACATTTTCTAATTGTAACTTTAACCTTTTCTGTTTTTTAACTGAGTAGCTTCAATCATTTGTTTCTAATTTAAAAAATTCATCCATCTAAAAATAATTTGTTCTTTAAGCATCAGAGATTGCATATCTTATTTCTGAATAAAATGTAGGGCTTCAGCTTTTCCCTCTCTATTAATTTGGAAATTTTGAAATTTTATTTTTACCATATGATGCATGGTTACAAAATTTTAAATCTAAGAATCTTCACAGTTGTACTGCCTGTTCAATACAGAATTATAAGGCCATGGGCTGGAAATTTAGCTCAGTTATTCTGCTGCCTGACTTGCAAGCGCAAGGATCCGAGTTTGATCCCTGGTACCAAAAAAAACAAAAAACAAAAACAAACATAAAACTATAAGGCCAAATCTACTAACATAATTTTTTAAAATTAAGTTAAATTCTAAAAATTAACATGGATTTATATGTAAGTAGTATATTGTAAGATTGAATATCTTTTAATTTTTTGCTAAATTTTCTTTCAGTAGCCCTCTTGCATTATACACAAGGATCATTGGTGAAGTACTAGATATCATCTAATCTAGTACCTTCACTGTCTTCAGTCCATTCTAAGAGGGAAGGTAACAAGTCCTTAAACTAGCCGGGTAAAAGCTGGTCCTCCTGATCCCTGGAACAAGGACATTTCCCTTGTTTCCAGCTTTCATTTGATAGGAATTTAAGTTTCAATCCAAATGACAGGCTATTTTCAGGGCTTGCTCTTGCTAAAAATGTTGTGTTCTTATTTTTTAAATGAAGTTCACTTTCAAAATTTTGTCTTTCTTTCAATTTTTAAAATATGCATTTTTATTACAACAGTTTTGGGTTTGCTGAATTATTACAAAGATAACACAAAGTTACTATCTCCTATACAATTTTAAGTATTATTAATACCTAATGTTAGTATCTGTATTTCCCACAATTAATAAACCCATTATTGATAAATTATTAGTAATAAAGTCCAGTCTTTGTCCAGTTTTCCTAAAGTTTTTCCTAATGTCCTTTCCCTGTTCCAGGACCCCATCCAAGACACCACCTGACATTTAGTTGGCTCTTTCAGTTGCAGCATTTCTCAGGCTAACCTTGTGTTTTATGATCATAACAGTTTTGAGGAGCATTGGTTAGATATTTTGTAGATTGTTCTTTGCTTGATATTTTCTTCATAATTGGATTGGTATGATGTGGTATTAAAAAGAAAAACTTAGAGATAAGTTCATTTTTATCATATACTATCAAAGGTACATGTTATCTGTACAATTTATTGGTATTAATGTTGGCTTTGATTAGCTGGCATAAGAACATATTTGTCAAGTTTTTCTACCGTAAAGCTGCTATTCTTGTCACCCTTTTCATACTAATTTTTTAAATCACCATACACAGTTCACAAATGAAGAATGGGAAGTTATTTTCTGTCTCTTTAAGGACAGACTATCTACATAAATTTTTAAAAATCCCCCTGGATGTATATTTGTGTATGTTCATTCATTCATTTAGAGATTCAGTCATTTTTATTATTATGAACTCATATATATTTGTTTTATATTTTCATTAATAACCCAATGGTCTCATTTGTTTTTTGCTCAGATTGTTCTAGTTTTGACTATTGATACCTTAAATTAGCTCCTTTATCTCTTGGACATACCCCACCACCATTTTGTATGTGTTGTGTGCTTCAACGCTCTAACTTTTTGGCATTACAAGATGTTCTAACTTATTTTGTATATTTCCTGCCTCAAATTATTGAGTCCTAGACTCAAAAATTTCTCTGAGAGTTCTGAGTCTTTCAATAGCAAAAGACCAAATTTGTGTGGTAGATATGTTTGTTTCTTCTGTTTATCATTGCTGCTAAGCCTTTGCAGCTGTCAAAGCATGAGATATGAGTGTATATAATAATTTATATCCACCAATTTATATAAATATTTTAGATGTAACCACTGTATGTGTGGAAAGCTAAACAGTTTATCTTGATGTCTCCAGCTCCAATGCACACAGATTATTCTAGCCTTCTCCCCTGTTCGTCTTTAACTCCTACTCCAAGAGTGAGAAATTATCTGCCACTCATTTATTTCATTACTTAATTTCAGAATATATGAATGGTATTTCAGAATTACTGACTTGTATGCCCATGAGAAACATTATCAAAGTGCAGTTCTTGCTTGCAATTCATTTGTGTTTGGTCTTTTAGGCTCTAATCACTTTCAGTATTACTTAGGTCAACACTTGATTATCTACCCATTTCAGTGAGATTGCTTCCTATATCTTTATAATGCATTTGAATTCTTGTGTGTTTGTGTGTGTGTGTGTGTGTGTGTGTGTGTGTGTTTGTGCAAGTGGTATATTTGCCTTCCATCGTGGGATCCCCAGTCTAATTAATCTTTTTTGTATTCATAAATGTTTACACAATGGGGTACATTTCATTGGGTTTCAACACATGTTTAATGCCTTAGACTTTCTATTATACAGAGTAGTTTCAACTGCCCTAAAATAGTTCCTGTTGATTGGAACTGAACTTCTCCAGAAATTATCATCAAAATCAAAATTTAGCAAATTGGATGCTTCTCTCCTTTGCAATTTGTTTGAAGCAAATTAAGCATTTAACGTTTCATAATGTCATATTCCTTAAAATTCAAGGATTGTGGTTGTTTATTTTTATCATATTAATATTTGTGTGAACAAATGAAAAATAGTTCAAATTGGAAAAAAATCATTGAAACAGGGAAAATAATGACTGAGTTTGAAGGGTCGAAAGAGTGAATTAGCAGGTCATATTGATTTTTGTATCTTTAATTTTCAAAATAGATTTTAAAAGATTTTCTTGAATATTACTGAATAAATCTAAAATTGTTACTTATTTTGTTCCAAAGGAGACCGACCTTTTTCTTCTCCTTATTTTCTCTTCTCTTGTCTTTTCTTTCTTATTTTCTCCTACAAAAATATTTCCTCTATGAGTTCTTATAATAGGCTTTGAAAATGCAGAGAAGAAAATAGTTACCCACTCCCTCAAGGACCTTTCATGTTATTCTTAAGGCAGGAAAATATGAAGGAGCAATGCAATACAGTAATGGTTATATTGGTACATCAAGAACACAAAAGAATAGAGGCCTTGTAGGGTTAAGGAAGACTTCCGGTTGAGCTGACACCTGAGATTTGGAGGAGGTTAAAGTTTGAGAGAAATAGGAAATGTGTAAAATGTCCCGGTTGCTTACAATTCAAGCTTCCCATTAAGTATAGCTAGAGAGGTGGAGATAGAATGGAAATGGTAATGTGGTTGATCAGGCTAGCAAGTATGGATCGTGAAGAGCCTTAGGTTAAATTTTATTTTAGTAGTAATGAGAAAGCCGCTGAAAGATTTTCAGCAAAGCAAGGTACACAACTTGATCTTAAAATATTTCAAATGTGGCTATTACTACAGATAAAGGTCTACTTTTTGTCAACAACAAAAGGGAAAGAACAGCAACAAATACTGAGAAATATTTTAAAAAATATGCGGAATTGGGTGCAAGGATATGCATTGGTAGTCCCAGCTAGTCAGGAGGCTGAGGCAAAAGGATCTCTTCAGCTTGGGAATTTGTGACAAACAACCCACAAAGACGTGAGAAGAGGAAGGTGAGAACAAAGTACTGAAGGATAAAATCCAGTGTTTCCTACACCCTACTGACCTTTGTACTCATTAAAGGAAAATTTAACTTTGATGGGAAAGAAGCATATTTTGTACAATTTTATGGATATTTGAAGGGAGTCATTATGGTATGTTCAAGAATGAGTGCTAGCATTTCCTTGAAAATATTAATTCAAGAGGAACATAATTTATATTTTTCTAATTAAGATTCTAAATGTTACTAGACAGAGAACATTAAAAATGAATTTAGAACTCTGTGGCTTGTGTCTATGACATAAACATGAATTTTTGCTTAAAACTCTTCCCTGTCATGGAGGAATTCTTTTTATGGGTTTCGAACATGCAGTTTGTAGACACTGAACTGTTCACCCATATCAGTGTTTATGATACTAGTCTGGAGTTTAATCTAAAATGCTTTACTGCCTGGCAGGATGAATCCTTAAAGCAGCTGCAGGTGGTCCATCGACCGTGGCTCTTGCCAAGTGACCCAGAGAGTGAAGGAGTGGAAGCAGAACAAGATAAACGTGAGTAGTCACTGCTATTTATTGACAAGTCGCTTTCATCCACAGGACATTCACGGTAAAAGAATTTACTTTTCATAACATTAAAAGTCTTCTGAGAAAAACTCAGACTTATTGGAAAGAGCACTTAAAGATAAGCTATCCTTGCAGTCCATAAATTTTGATTCAATGATGACCAGATTGTTATATAAACATCCATAAACTAATTTTTTTTTATTGAGTTTATTGGTACATTTAGGGATACAGTACAGTTACATTCATTGTTGATTACTTTTCAACATTAAAAGTCTTCTGAGAAAACCTCAGACTTATTGGAAAGAGCACTTAAAGATAAGCTATCCTTGCAGTCCATAAATTTTGATTCAATGATGACCAGATTGTTATATAAACATCCATAAACTAATTTTTTTTTATTGAGTTTATTGGTACATTTAGGGATACAGTACAGTTACATTCATTGTTGGGATCATGTACCTTTACATGGCAAGTCTTGATTCTCATTTTTTCCCCTTACCTCTGCCCTCCCTTCACCCCCTCCTCCCCTCCCCATCTACAAACACTTTATTTTCATCTTTTCATTCTCTCACATTTTTTTCTTTTCCCTTTTTGTTCTTCCCCTACGTATCACACCTTCCCTACACCTTTAGCTCCTTTCCTCCCATTTCTAAATGTCAGTAATCTTATTAGAATCTTATGCATTGTTGCAGAATATTCACACCAGGGAAACTATTTGGTATTTACACATGTGGGACTTATTTATTTCACTTAGGAGTATATCTTCAATATGTATCCATTTTCCTATGAATGAATCTATTCTCTCGCTCTTTATGGCTGAGTAATATTCCATTTTATAGAAAAACCACAACTTCTTTATCCAGTTTCCAACGGATGGGCAAATAGGTTGTTTCCAAGATTTAGCTATTACAAACTGTGCCGCTATAAACATGGGTGCACATACTTCTCTGTGATATGATTCTTTTAGTTCTCTTGGAAAGATACCCAACAGAGGGATGGCTGGGTCAAATGGAACCTCCAGTCCAAGCTCTTTGAGGTATCTCCATATTGATTTCCATAGTGGTTGCACTAGTCTGCACTCCCACCAACAATGGAGGAGGGTTCCTTTCTCCCCACAACCCCGCCAACATTTGTTATTGTGTGATTTCTTGATAGCAGCCATTCTTTGTGGGGTGAGGTGGAATCTCAGTGTTGTTTTCATCTGCATCTCTCGAATGACCAGTGATGTGGAACATTTTTTCATATATTTTCTTGCTGCTTTCACTTCTTTGTATGAGAAATGTCTGTTCATTTCGGATGCCCATTTTTGGATCGGGTCTTTATATTTGGGGGGACTGATTGTTTTGAGTTCTTTATATATCCTTGATAATAGTCCTTTGTCTGAGGTACAGCTGGTAAAAATTTTTTCCCACATTGTAGATTGTCTCTTAGTTCTGCTAATGGTTTCTTTTGAAGTACAGAAGCTTTTTAGTAAGATGAGATCCCAGTTGTTGATTCTTTCTGCTAGTTCCCGTGCTACTGAGGATTTGTTCATAAAGTCTTTTCCTATACCAATGTCTTCCAGAGTTCTGCCTAACTTACTTTCCAGCAAGTTTAATGTTTCTGTTTTAATATTTAGATCTTTAATCCATTTGGATTTTAATTTAGTGCATGGCGAAAGATAAGGGTCTAATTTTAATCTGTGACAGGTTGATATCCAGTTTTTCCAACACCATTTATTAAAGAGGCTATCTTTCCTCCACTGAGGATGGTGAGCTCCTTTGTCGAAGATGAGGTAGCTGAGTACATCTGCATTTGTTTTTGTGTCTTCCAGTCTGTTCCATTGATCCTCAGGCCTATTTCTTTGCCAGTACCATGCTGATTTTATCACAGTGGCTTTGTAGTATAGTTTCAAATTGGGAATTGTTACACCTGGTGCCATGTGACTGTTGCCTATAATGGCTTTTGCTATTCTAGGTCTCTTGTGGTTCCAAATGAATTTTTGGATTCTTTTTTCTAGTTCTGTGAAATATAGTGTTGGAATTTCAATTGGCATTGCATTGAATGTATATAGCAGTTTCGGTAGTATGGCCATTTTCACTATGTTGATTCTTCCTACCCAGGAGCAGGGGATATCTTTCCATTTTTTTATATCCTCTTCGATTTCTTTTTTCAGAGTGCTGTAGTTTTCAGTGTAGAGATCTTTTGTTTCTTTTGTTAGATTGATTCCTAGATACTTCATTTTTTTGGATGCTATTGTAAAAGGAATTTTTTCCCTTATTTCTCTTTCTGTCTGTCTGTTATTTGTGTATAGAAAGGCTATTGATTTTTGGGTATTCACCTTGTATCCAGATACTTTACTGAATCTGTCAATTAAGTCTAGAAGTTTTTTGGTGGAGTTTTTTGGATCTTCAATGTAGAGTATCATATCATCAGCAAATAATGATAGCATAAACTAATTTTTTTAAAAGAAAGAATTATTTTTCGGAACTAAACCAACAGCGAATGTTGTGCAGAAATACCAGAGAATTATCTTAGGGACAACTTTTTTTTTTCAGCTTTAATTGAGTTTATTGGTACATTTTAGGGATACAGTACAGTTACATTCCTTGTTGGGAATTTGTACCTCTACATG